TGTGGGATCTTCCCGGACTGGGGCACGAACCCGTGTCCCCTGCATCGGCAGGCGGACTCGCAACCACTGCGCCACCAGGGAAGCCCGAAGCCATATTTTTGAAAAGTATGAAGAAACAGGTGAACTTAACGTTAGTAGTACGTTTCTTTAACCTGAGACAGGCAGGGTATTCCCACATCAGCACGTAGTCAACACGGTCGCTCCCCGGTATCCATGGGGAACTGGTTCCAGGACCCCCAAGGATAACAAAATCCGAGGATGCTCAAGGCCCTTATGTAAAACGGTGTAGTGCAGACGGTCCTCGGTATCCATGGAATACAGAAAAAACAGACAGTTTGTGTTCTTTCTTTTCTATTAAGTCTCTGAGGTCCGGTGTGCATTCTCCCAACGTGAGACATCTCAAAGCAAAAGGGGGAAAAAAGACACCGTAACGAGGGCGGTTTAAACTCTGTGCAAAGCAAGCATTAGTAGGCCGTGAGTGAGAGCACGACCGCTGATGCGTCTCGCTCGGTTGGACGAGCCTCCAGATTCGGCACGCTCCTGGGACCGACCCCTCGTCCGGCCCAGCAGGCTTCCCGCAGCTGAGGATGATGCCCTGCTCCGGTGTCTGTCCCCGCAGTCGGAGACCTGCCAAGGATGGACCCCACCCTGGGCGACGTGGAGCCACACAGAGACGCGAAGGCCGGGAGCCCCGAGCGAGAGCCGGCGTGGCAGGCCCTCCCGATCCTGTCTGAGCAGCAGTCCTGCGCGGTGGAGCTGGTGCTGGCCTATGCCGCGCCGGTCCTGGACAAGCGCCAGACCTCACGCCTCCTCAAGGAGGTGTCAGCCATCCACCCGCTGCCCGCACAGCCTCACCTCAAGAGGGTGCGACCCAGCCCCCGCCCCGGCTGCCCACACGCGCTGGAGATGCTGCTGTGCCTGGCGGGTCCAGCCGCGGGCATGCGATCACTGGCCGAGCTCCTCCCGCCACCGGCCGTGGACCCCCGTGGCCTGGGCCAGCCCTTCCTGGTGCCTGTGCCCGCGCGGCCGCCCCTGACCAGGGGCCAGTTTGAGGAGGCGCGCGCCCACTGGCCCACCACCTTCCATGAGGACCGGCAGGTGACCCGAGCCCTGGCCGGGCAGCTCTTCTCGCCGCAGGAGCGGGTGGCGATGCAGGGCCACATGGAGCGGGCCGTGTGGGCCGCGCAGCAGGCAGCCTCGCGGGGCCTGCGGGCCGTGGGGGCGGTGGTGGTGGAGCCGGCCTCGGGCCACGTGCTGGCCACGGGCCACGACTGCAGCAGCGCAGCCACACCCCTGCTGCACGCCACCATGGTGTGCATCGACCTGGTGGCCCGGGGCCAGGGCCGTGGCGCCTATGACCTTGCACCCCACCCCGCCTGCTCCTTCACCCCAGCCACCGCCCCCCCAGGCGTCCGCGCGGGCTCCGTGCGCAAGCTGGATGAGGACGCCGATGGCCTGCCCTACGTGTGCACCGGCTACGACCTGTACGTCACCCGTGAGCCCTGCGCCATGTGCGCCATGGCCCTGGTCCACTCCCGCGTGCGGCGCGTCTTCTATGGGGCGCCCTCGCCGGACGGCGCGCTGGGCACCCGCTTCCGCCTCCACGCCCAGCCGGACCTCAACCACCGCTTCCAGGCCTTCTGTGGCGTGCTGGAGGCCCAGTGCCGCCGGCTGGACCCCGACGCATAGGCCCGGCCCGGACCGGACCTTCTCCAGCCTCCCTCATGTTGCCAAGGGCTGCTGGCCCATCTCGGCTTGGGTACCCTCACGCTGTTGCTGCCGGCGCGTGGGGTGCATGCCTGTCTGGGTGAGCTCTTCTCTGGGCTTGGGCGTAGCGGGGCTCCAGCCAGGCCGAGTAGCTGGGCAGCTTCAGACCTGGGCCTCTGGGGCCACTGGGATTGTGTCTCCTTTTCTCAGGTGTCAGGAAACAGCTCTGACGTGTGAAAATAAACAACTGAAAACCAGGTCGGTGTCTGGGACTTCCCTGGCGGCCCAGTAGTTAGGGCTCTGCGCTTCCGATGCAGGGGGCGCAGGTTCGATAAGATCCCACGTATCAAGCGGTGCGGCCAAGAGAAAAAAAGAAACCAGGTCGTTGTCTGTTGACAGAGGAGCGAGGGTCCCTGGATTGGGGTGGCTGCTTCCGCCGACACCTGGGCTTGTGCTGCAGGGGGGGCGGGCAGTGAGCTTCTGAGCCACGCGTGGGCAGAGCAGGGCCCCCGGAGTCTGGAAGGCTGTGGCTGGACTCTGGGGAGAAGCCCGGCCAGTCTGGACTCAGCTGACCACATCAATTTCCCATCCTTTGCAGGTGCCCACGGGGTCCCCAGAGGGGCCCTTGGGCTCTTCCAAGGCGGGTTAGCACTAGGATCCATGTGCGTGGGGCTCAGAGCAGCCTATTTGTCCATCCAGCAGATACACGTTGACTGACCACACAGTGCCACAGGGCCCTGAGACATCCTTGCCCTGAGCCCCCGCTCCAGCCCCCAGCCCAGGGATGCTCCCAGCCCATGGGGACAGGGCAGGGGGTCTCGGCCAGAGCCGGAGCAGTGGGCAGACAGTGGGGCCTGCAGGCAGGAGGGCAGGGCCAGGCTGGGCTGAGGGTCCCGGTGGGACCCTCACTGAGCAGGGGGCCGGGGGGTGGACCCAGGGAACTCTCGGTCACTGGATCTTTCCCACCTGGACCACCTCCAGGCAGGGCTCCCCCACCCACTCTGGTGCCAGGCACAGGGGGCAGTGCAGGGCCAGCTGTACCGTGAGGGCCAGGTGGGCGCTAGGCGTGGCCACATTGCCTGGCCCGTTTCCTGAAGATGGCACCATCTGCCCGCAGGGCCCTCGTGGAGCAGGTGAATTAAGCTCAGTTACGCGCCTCAGTGGTGTCTCCTGTGAGGGGCTGCTCTGTGACACGGGCTCCTGGGCTCCTTCTGGGCCGGACCGCTGGGTGCCGGGTCTGTCCCCTGGCGTTTTACTTGGATTGCAATGGGGTCCTTGGCCTTGCAAGGCTCACAAGGGCGAAAACCGCAGACCAGAGAGGTTGTGTGGTTTGCCTGAGGTCACACAGCAATGAGCATGGACCCATTTATCGGTGATTCAGAGATTCTTTGTGGCCATAGGAGGTGCTCAGAGCCATCCGTGGATAAAGGAGAAGTTCGGGGGGGTGGGGGAGATGAGGCAGGAGGGCAGTGGGGGTGGGTTGCCGGGATCCTCTGGCCTGATGCCTCCCCTTGCAAAAGTGCCAGGCTGCCTGGGGGGCTCTGAGGTGAGGCGGTGACTGGGATCGCACGTTCAGGGCTGGGCCAGCCTTTGGGCCAAGAGCCCAGATACCCCTGTGGACGGTTTGGTGGTTAGGACAGTGCCCGCGGTAGCCCTCTGGGTCTGCCGCTGGCGTTGGGGTCGCCCAGCAGACATGGGGACCCCCTGACTGTGACTGTCTCCCCTCCAGGTGGCTGCAGGCTTCTGCCCCTGCCCTGTCTTCACAGCGGAAATGTCAGGTGAGTCCTGGCCGCGTCACACAGCGAGGGTTCTGGCTTCTCTACCCCTCTGGGAAGCGCTCGGGCGCTGGACGCTGTGCTGCGGGCAGGATCACGTCCCCCTTGAGGCCTGTGCAGTGCCTGCCATGGCAGTGCGTGTGCTAAAATGGAGCCATACAGAGATGAGCGTGACCCCTGCGCTGGGGGACACGCGAGACCGGAAAAGCTTCGTGTTGAAAACCATGAAGTCTGGACCCCGGGACCCTGGAACAGGACCCTATTGCAGATGTAACTTAATTTGAGGTCCCAATGGAATAGGGTGGCCCTGATGTCTCATGGCAGACGTCCTAAGAAGGAGGAAATGTGGGCACAGACACACAGAAACCAGGGAAGATGGGGGCGGACACTGGAGGGACGGGTCCACAAGCACAGGACGCCTGGAGCCCCCAGAAGCTGGAAAGGGCAGGAAGGACCCTCCCCTGGAGCGTGTGGAGGGAGCGTAGCCCTGTCACACCTGGATCTCAGTCATCTGGTGTCCAGAATGGAGATGGATAAATCTCTGTTGTGTTAAGCCCCCCAGTCTGTGGTCATTTGTTACAGCCACCCCGGGAAGTTCATATGTCCCGAGTGCCAGAACCTTCCTTGGAGTCAAAGGTGTGAATGGCACGTGGGCCCTGCCATGGAGTCTGTGTGTGTTCCTGTGACTTCTGAGAAATCACCACAAACTCAGTGATTTAAAATAAAATTTGTTCTCTGACAGTCCTGAGGTCAGGAGTCTGACTGGGGTCTCATGGGGCTAAATCCAGGTGTGGGCAGGGCCGGTCCTTCCGGAGCCTCCAGGGCAGCATCGGTCCCCGACTTTTCCAGCTTCTAGAGGCGCCGCCTCCCTGGCTCGCGGCCCCTCCTGCGTCCTCACAGCCAGCAGCGCAGCATCTCCCGTCTCTCTCTGCCTCTGACCCTCCCGCCTCCCTCTTACAAGGACCCTGTGATGACGCTGGGCCCCTCGGGGAATCCAGGGTCCTCCCCATCGCAGGGGCCTTAACTTAGTCCCACCTGCAAAGTCCCCTCTGCCCCATGAGGTGACGTGTCCACAGGTCCTGGGACCAGATGGGCGCATCTTTGGGGCCACTACAAGCTGATTGCAGTGTGGGTTTTGTTCTGGCCCCTCTGTCCCTGCAGAAAAGGAGAACAACTTCCCCCCGCTGCCCAAGTTCATTCCCCTGCAGCCCTGCTTCTACCAGAACTTCTCTGACGAGATCCCTATCGAGCACCAGGTCCTGGTGAAGAGGATCTACCGCCTGTGGCTGTGTGAGTGGACAGGGCAGGAATGGGGGCCACCTGCACCACCCTGAGACCCAGGCCTGGGACAGGGGCAGGCTAGGAGGCCGCCCTGCACCCGGGCGGTGACAGCCTGAGGGTTTGGTAATAAAGCTCCCTTCTGATGAGCTCCTGTCCGGTGTGGATGGAGCAGGTGTGGGGGCTGGGCCCTCTGGACCCTTCTCTGGCCTCGGGGCCCCTGCACTCATGGGAGCCGCCGTCCAGGGGTGTCCCGGCTCAGCCCCTTTCTTCCCCTTCGCCCCCTCCCCACAGTCTACTGCACCACCCTGGGCGTCAACCTCATCGCCTGCCTGGCCTGGTGGATCGCTGGCGGCTCGGGAGCCAACTTCGGTCTGGCCCTGGTCTGGCTGCTGCTCTTCTGCCCCTGCGGCTACGTGTGCTGGTTCCGGCCCGCATACAAGGCCTTCCGGTGAGTGGGGCGGGCGGCCCGCACCTCCAGGGGCCTTCGGGGAGTGTCTGGTGCTGACAGCCCCAAACCGAGGGGAACAGGATACCGCACCGCGTGCGCTCCCCTCCGTGCCCAGCCCTGCGTGGGCTGCATCCTGGTCTGCATCTGCCACTGGGCCCAGGCGTGAGCTCCACCCCCTCCTCTTGTCCAGTTTGGATGGCACCTTATATCGGGTCTGCAGACAACGGCCCACGGGTCAAAACCAGCTGCTGCCTGTTTTGTTCACTTTTAATAATTTTATTGAGATAATATTTTTACATATCGTCCAGCTCACCTGCTTAACCGTTCAGTGTTTCTAGTATCTTCACAAGGTTGGACAACCATCACCACTGTCTAATTCCAGAACATTCCGTCACCCCAAAGAGAAACCTCGTGCCCATTAGCATCCCCCCATCCCCCTCCCCAGCCCCTGACAACCATGAACCTGCTCTCTGTGTCTGTGGATCTGCCTGTTCTAGACGTTTCCTGTCTGTGGAATCACACACTGCATGTCCTTCTGTGTCTGGCTTCTCTCACTGAGCATCGTGTTCTCAGGGTCCATCCACATTGTAGCGAGTGTCAGGGCTTCACCCCTTTTCCTGGCTGAGTGGTGGTCCCATGTGTGGAGGGACAGCAGGGTTTTTTTTTTTTTTAAATAATATCGGGTTTTTTTGGCTGGGTCGGGTCTTCGTTGCTGCGCGCAGGCTTTCCTTAGTTGCAGAGAGCAGGGGCTACTCTTTGTTGCAGTGCGCGGGCTTCTCATTGCGGTGGCTTCTCTTGTTGCCAAGCACGGGCTCTAGGTGCACGGGCTTCAGTAGTTGCCGCACAAGGGCTCAGTAGTTGTGGCTCACAGGCTCCAGAGCACAGGCTCAGTAGTTGTGGTGCGTGGGCTTAGTTGCTCTGCGGCATGTGTGATCTTCCTGGATCAGGGCTCAAACCCACGTCCCCTGCATTGGCAGGCGGATTCTTAACCACTGCGCCACCAGGGAAGTCCCCCCACAGTTTTTTTTTTTTTAAATAATATCGGGTTTTTTTGGCTGAGTCGGGTCTTCGTTGCTGCGCGCAGGCTTTCCTTAGTTGCAGAGAGCAGGGGCTACTCTTTGTTGCAGTGCGCGGGCTTCTCATTGCGGTGGCTTCTCTTGTTGCCAAGCACGGGCTCTAGGTGCACGGGCTTCAGTAGTTGCCGCACAAGGGCTCAGTAGTTGTGGCTCACAGGCTCCAGAGCACAGGCTCAGTAGTTGTGGTGCGTGGGCTTAGTTGCTCTGCGGCATGTGTGATCTTCCTGGATCAGGGCTCAAACCCACGTCCCCTGCATTGGCAGGCGGATTCTTAACCACTGCGCCACCAGGGAAGTCCCCCCACAGCTGTTTATCCATCATCCGTTGACGGGCATTTGAGTTGTTGCCACCTTTTGGGTGCTGTGAATCTTGCTCTGTGAGTTCACCCCCAGCCAGCCCCCTGCTACTCAGGTGTGTGCCATGTTTGCCCCTGGAAGGTCCCTGAATCCAAGACTCAGTGGGAGTCATACAGGGCCCCTGGTGCCCTCCTGGAGGCAAGAATCAGAAACCTGCTCACATGTGCTGAAGCAAAAGGGGCCTGTTGTTTGAGGCCCCAGGCTGGCTGGTGTGACCCTGCGCAGGAACGGGGACCCCTGAGGGCTTCGGGGACTGCCTGGGAGCAGCCCTGAGCTACGCGAGCATCCCTGCCTCCCCCGCCCTTCCTCTGCTGTGGGTCCCCCAGCACCTGCCCTCCTTTCATGAGCCGGAAGTGGCCTGGGTGAGCCCCGTGCAGCCTCCCTTGTCCGGGGCAGCAGGCATGGGTCCAGCATGCAGAGCACCTCAAATCCACGATGAACCTCCCTCGGGCCACGCGGGTGCGGGCATGTCCTTAGGATGCAGGAGGCTCTTAAACTTCCCAGGAGGAGTATGTCTGGGTGACGTCCTCTGGGAAGGGCAGTGCTGGGCCCCTCCTGATGGGAACTGCAGGGGAGGGGCCGTCCCACTCCCGCAGCCTCTGCCTCTTCCTCCTTGGCCTCAGTAATGGCTGTTTTCCTTTCCTCCAGATCTGACAGCTCCTTCAATTTCATGGCGTTTTTCTTCATCTTTGGAGCCCAGTTCGTCCTGACCGTCATCCAGGCTGTCGGCTTCTCGGGATGGGGCGCATGGTGAGCAGGGCCCCTGAGAGCCCGTGACGAGCGGGGTCAGCTCTGGGGCCATGAGTCACTTGATCGTACCGTTAGTGCAGGCTGAGCTCTGTGATGAGGACCCCAAAACTCTGACAGCCGGGACAGGGCTGATGTTTGCTCCTTGCTCGTCAACCCTCCAGGGAGCTGCCAGCTCCGGGGGCCGGGTGCGGCAGATCCGCCCGCCTTCTGCCGCCTCGTGCGTGGTCACCCGGCCCCAGGAGGACCTGGGAAGTGTGGTCCATGGTGTGTCTGGGGGGTGGGAGAGCAGCTCGAGGGCCTGCCCTGAGCAGCCACCTGTGCCTAGGCCTACCATTTAGGGGGTGAGCCGTTTCCCATTTGTTTGCTTTTGGGGTATCATACGAGGTTTCTGTGGCTACTGTAACAAATTACTCCAGATTTAGTGACTTGAAATGAGAGAAACTTATGTCACGTTCTGGAGGTCAGAACTCACTTTAACATGTGAGTGGGCAGGGCTGGTCCTTCCGGAGGCTCCAGGGCAGCATTGGTTCCGCCTTTTCCAGCTTCCAGAGGTGCCGCATCCCTGGCTCACGGCCCCTCCTGCATCCTCACAGCCCAGCAGCGCAGCATCTCCCGTCTCTCTCTGCCTCTGACGCTCCCGTTTCTCTCTTATAGGGACCCTGGGATGACGCTAGGCCCCCCGGGGAATCCAGGGTCATCCCTGTCTCAGAGGCTTTAACTTAATCCCACCTGGAAAGTCCCTTTTGCCACCTAAGGTGCCACATCCGCGGGGCCCTGGAGCAGGACGTGGCAGTGTCGGGGCAGCGGGTCCGTCTGTGGCAGGCAGTGCCCAGAGGTGGCGCTGGGCGGTTGCTCTTCCTGCCTCATGTGCTGCCGGGCGTGTCCCCACGTCTCTTGGTAGAATTTCTCGGCGTGTCGGGACCTTGCCCATGTGAGCGGCGGGGAATCTTCTGGGTCACGCCCTCTGGTGGATCTTCTGACTCATGGGTGGGGGGCGCTTGTTGCCATTGCCTTCAAGGTGTCCGTCCCCGTCACTCTGCCGTGTCCGCGGGGACGGCCGCCACATGCCCTTGGCAGTGCTGAGCTGTGCGCGCTCTTTTTGCTCTTGAGGCCCCGCTGAGGTTGCACAGCCTCTCGGTGTCCGTTTGCTGCCGGGCCTTCACCCCTCCCCAGGATGGAGCCTGTCACCCAGGGTCATCTCCAGGGTGCGTCTCTCCGGGTTCCTGACATCGCTCCCTCCCCGCATGGTGAGCAGACCCTGAGTGCTGGGCCTCCTCTCGGCCAATGCCTTCCCAGATGTGGGTGTGGGGTCCTCAGGACCACCCCAGGTGCAGGGATTCACTGGGCGACCCCCAGGCACAGCCGAGACCCCAGATCCAGCGGGAGAGTAGGTGCCCGGGTGGACTCCACGTTTGCACAGGCGGTGTTGGGACGGGGAGCCCCCGAGGTCTGGTTCCAGACGCAGCCTCACGCTGGCACCCAGCCGCCTTCTGCCTGGCCCCCCATAGCCGTGGTTTCTGCACGTACGGGCAGGGCGCACACCTTCCTTGGGGCCCAGCCTGCAGAAAGGGAACATTGGAGCCGACCTTCCCACCTGGTGACCTCACCTCGCGCAGGGGCTGCCCCGAGATGTTGCCCTTGTCTGGGAAGTTGTGGGGAGGGGGAGGGGGGTAGTGATAACAACGGTGACAGTGACGGTGACAGTGCTTCTGGGTGTGCAGGGGGGCTTGGGCACCTCCCAAGGGCTGGCTCATTTGCTCCCCTTGAAGGGGTCTCCTGACTTCCTAGTCTGCAGACAGGGGGACAGGTGTGGATGGGGGCAAGGGTTAGGGTCAGGGTTAGGCTCCGTACCTGGTACCCAAGGCCCTCCCCTTCTTGCCGGTGTGGGCAGCTGTCCTGGTTCTGGTCCCGTACGGGGACCCACGGGCTCTGCAGACGTGGGGGAGTAGGTGGCGTCTGGCCCAGGGGCCACCTCGGGGCTCAGTGCTGGGGCTGGGGCTGAGGAGCTGCAGCTCTGCCCGTCTGCGTTCACCCTGACGGGCCAGCCTGGGTTTCCCCCGCCTGGGGTCTGCCCTGCTGCTGAGCCTCCCTGCCCGGGTTCTGTCTATTCCGGGGGTCTCCTCCTGGCTGGCTGGGGTCTCCCTGTTCCTGGGGTCTCACCCTCCTGCCCAGCTGGCTGCAGCCCCGCAGGTCACCTCCAGGGAGCGAGTGGACCACTCTGGGGTCAGCGTGTGGAGCCTCGGGGATGCCTTCCGGGGGCACCGGCTCCCAGTCAGTCCCGGGCCCGCAGGTCTGTCCCTCCCTGCTCACCCCAGACGCTTCCCTGTGAGTCCGTGCAGGAGGCAGACTTTTAAAACCTCTGAGACGTCTTATACATAAAAGGCCGCGATGCTGCTTTGCGCCAGGAAACCGACAGTGACCCCAGCACCTCAGATGCTCAGACATGTCTTTCCTGCCCTCTCGTGACCCTCTCACATGGGGCTCCTTAGAGGTTCACGGACCTGGGGCAGAGCCCGCTGCCCACCACTCAGCCAACTCCCCGCCCACATCTGATGTCCTCACCTCGACCACACATGGCGGGTGCAGTGCTCTTACCCACCTGCAGGTGTCACAGGTTTCCACAGTGTTGCCGTGACAGGTCTTTTCCCCTTGGGGATCCCTGTGGGTTGTTAACGTTTGGCCTTTGCGGTTGGTTCATATCAGATTCCAGGTGAGGTGTGCACGCCTCTCTGATCCGGGAGCTCGACCGTCTGTAGTCTCCATGGTAGGGGCTTTATCTAGGTGCCTTCACAGCCAGAAAGGCAGCCTCTTAAGCGCATGATTCAGTGGTTTTCAGTGTATTTACAAGGATAGAGGTTCATCACCTCTATCCAATTCCAGAACATTCCATCACCCCAAAAAGAAGCCTGTCCCCATCATCAGTCACCTCCACCCCCTCCCCAGCCCCTGACAACCACGCATCCCCTCTCTGTGTCTGTGGACTTGCCTGTTCTGGACGTTTCCCATCAATGGAATCACACTCTGTGTGTCCTTCCGTGTCTGGCTTCTCTCACTGAGCATCGTGTTCACAGGGTCCATCCTGTCATAGCCTGTGAAGTGCTTCCCTGCTTTTTATGGTATAAGACTTTCCACTGTATGGATGGGCCACACTGTGTTTATCCCCCGCCCCTCGGTGGTCACTGGGTCATCCCCATGTCGGGACAAAGTGACGAGAGGCAGCAGGCCCTCCCTGTGTCCCTGTGTTCTCAGGGTCTGTCCACGTGGTAGCGAGTGTCGTGGCTTCACCCCTTTTCGTGGCTGAGTGATGCTCCCATGTGTGGAGGGACATGGTATGTGTGGGTGGATGCTTGGGTTGTATGTGCCTGTCTGTTATTGCTAGTCGTTCTGCTGTGCAGTTTCTACAGGTATCCGTGTGAATGTGTGTTCTCATTTCTCTTCCACCTGGTTGTGGAATTGCTGGGCAACACAGTAACTATTTAGCTGTCTGAGGAGCTGCCAGGCCCTCCCATAGCTTTTGCAGGCTGCATTCCTGTGCTTTCCTTTTGCACCTTCTGTCCCCATATCCCTGGCTCTGTCCCCTCGAGCTCCTGGCCGAGTGGCCTTGGGGGAGCACCTGGCACCCTCGTGTCCCTGCCGCCTTGTCTCCAGGCCTGTCATCCTCCCTGCCCTCCGCCCACTGCCGCTTGCCTTGGCCGACCCGCCTGGTGGGTGCAGCAGGCTCTGCACATCTGTCTGTAGCTGGTCGAGGCCGGTTTATCACCCACTGTCCTGAGTGGGTCACCCTGGGCTGTTGGTGAGATTGCTGTCTGGAAGCTCGGGCTGCCGGTCCCTCTGGGAGTCTGGGCCGTGGAGCAGGTCCCCATCCTACAGCCCCACCCTCCCCAGTGGCCAGGATCCATGGCCCCAGATCCGATGCGAGATCATTGGTCCCCAGAGTGGCCCCTCCCCCAGCAGAGCCAGCCCCTCCTCCCCTCCCAGGAGCCCACAGGACAGCATCCAGCCCCCCACTGGCCCAGCCCCAGCTGCCTGTCTACCTACCTGAGCCCCCCAGCTGCCCGGCTGTGCTCATACCCCTCAGAGTGCAAAGCAGTGTGTTCTGCTGTCCTTTTTTGTACACAAGAACGTCTCTCCTGGTTTCACAGAGGGACGAGGCCTGTTTGTGTGTGCCTGCAGCAGGTTGCATACATCTTATAAACTCTCTCAGGATGGATACATAGTAGATGAGCTACACCAGTTCCCTCTGGGCTGGGGAGGGGGTCGGCAGGAGAGAGACTGTCTATTGTGTATTTTTTTTTTAATTTCCTGAATCTTGAACAGTGCGGTGTCATTACTTGCTAAGAAGAAACATTTTCAAAAACACCCTATTTCCTGCCTCTCCCTCCCAGAGACCAGATGGGTGTTCTTCCGCATGTGGACTAGGGACGCACCCAGTGACTTGTTTTGCTGTCTCCTTAGCAAACTGATGTTCCAGTCATTCCCAGCCAGTGGGCGTTTACAGGTTACCTTCAGCTTTTCCTTCTTACAAACAATGGCCGTGGCATAAATTTTTACAAGTGAAATAGTTGGGGAAAAAGGAATGAGCGCTGGGGCTTCCCTGGTGGCGCAGTGGTTGAGAGTCTGTCTGCCAATGCAGGGGCCACGGGTTCGTGCCCCGGTCCGGGAAGATCCCACATGCCGCGGAGAGGCTGGGCCCGTGAGCCATGGCCGCCGCGCCTGTGCATCCGGAGCCTGTGCTCCGCAACGGGAGAGGCTGCAACAGTGAGAGGCCCGCGTACCGCAAAAAAAAAAAAGGAAAAAGGAATGAGCACTGGGGCTTCCCTGGCGGCGCAGTGGTTGAGAGTCTGTCTGCCAATGCAGGGGCCACGGGTTCGTGCCCCGGTCCGGGAAGATCCCACATGCCGCGGAGAGGCTGGGCCCGTGAGCCATGGCCGCCGCGCCTGTGCATCCGGAGCCTGTGCTCCGCAACGGGAGAGGCTGCAACAGTGAGAGGCCCGCGTACCGCAAAAAAAAAAAAGGAAAAAGGAATGAGCACTGGGGCTTCCCTGGCGGCGCAGTGGTTGAGAGTCTGTCTGCCAATGCAGGGGCCACGGGTTCGTGCCCCGGTCCGGGAAGATCCCACATGCCGCGGAGAGGCTGGGCCCGTGAGCCATGGCCGCCGCGCCTGTGCATCCGGAGCCTGTGCTCCGCAACGGGAGAGGCTGCAACAGTGAGAGGCCCGCGTACCGCAAAAAAAAAAAAAAAGGAAAAAGGAATGAGCGCTTAAGTCTTGTTCTAGGTCACACCCCATTGCCCTCTAGGAAGGGTGCACCCCACACTGACAAAGTAGTGTTTGCTTCTCCATTCTCTCACGATGTTTGCTGGGACGATGGTGTGAGAACAAGACTTTTTCTAACTTGCACATCTTTGTTGGTGGGTTTGAGCATCGCTTCAAATTTGTTGCTCCTTGTGAATTGCCCATTTTCTCTGCCGGTCATTTACCTTTTTCTTGTTGATTTATTGGAGCTCTTTACACATGAGGGCCCTTGTCTGGTGGTCATGCTGGCTCCCACACGCTCTCTCGCCCCTTGCAGTGGTTGGCTGGCTGCGATTGGGTTCTTCCAGACCAGTGTCGGGGCCGCCGTGGTCATGCTGCTTCCGGCCATCATGTTCTCCATGTCGGCCGCCATGATGGCCATCACGATCATGAAGGTAACTCCTCTAGGTCCCGAGACATCCCGCTTCCTCTCTTGTATCCTGTGTCCTGACCTCCCAGCCCCGGGGGCTCGTCTTACCCTGTTTCGGGAGCAGGAGACTGAGCATCGGGAAGTGAAATGAATGCTGTCAGCAGGGCACACCCTCTGTGGTCTGGACCCTCGACTGCTCAGGCCAGGGCCCTGCCTTCCTGCCCACATGGGCCTTCCTGGGAGGAGGGACTTGGGGAGACAGTGCCCTGTGGCCGATGGTGACCACTGCCTGCCAGAGCCCCTAGCACGTGTGTCCCAGAGGGTGGTCCACACTGCCAGTTCAGCCACCACCGGCCACTAATCGCTGTTTACAGTTAAATCCAAATTGAGTAAAGTTAAGTAAAACTAAAAATTCCTTGTGTCCGTCGTACCCACCTCCTCCCGAGCGCTCAGGCCGTGAGGGGCTGGCGCCAGCCAGCTCCACCGTCACGGGCTCTCCCTGGACAGCCCCACTCCAGGCGTTTGGAGGCTTCCAGAGGGAACGTGAGTCCTATAGTCTGGGGGCATCGGCTGCACGAGGGTTGTCCTGGGGCCACGTGGAAACCGGCGGGTGATGAGGCTGACGGTGCGTCCACCTGGCCTTCCCGGAGGTGACCCTCTTGCCCGTGCCCCTCCTGTGCACCCAGTGCCACTGCTCAGGGAAGCCAGCCCTACCTACGACTTTTTTTTTTTCTTTTTTTTTTCCCCATGCCGTGGGGCTTGTGGGATATTAGCCCCCCAACCGGGGATCGAACTTGAACCCTCGGCAGTGAAAATGCAGAGTCCTGAGCACTGGACCGCTGGGGAAGTCCCTGCAAGCTGGGTTTTGAGTCTCTTCCAGCCTCCGTGCCGTGGGATCTCAGCTGTTTTGTCAGGTTTTGAGGCCTGCACTGTTCCGGAGCCCTGGGTCATCTGGAAGGACAGAGGGGTGCCTGCTCCACCGTGTTTGTCCCTGAAGTCCCCTGGCTCTATGGATGACCCGAAGGGGGCAGGAGGAACCAGCAGAAAGCAGACCCCGGGAGGCTTGGGGAGATGCTGGGACGAAGGCTGTGCAGGGACAGCTGCGGTTCCACCAGGAACATCTCAGCAGCAGACGGGAGGGCTTCCGAGCTGAGCGAGTCCTCCAGAGCAGAGCTGCCCCATCGGGGTCCCCAGCACCGCCCCGATTTGGGGGTTCGCTGGGAGGCCATTGCACAGGAGAAAGATAAAGGACAAAAGCGTCAGCTTTGCTGCTCAAGAGCCTCAAGTTAAAACAAATGCCATCTTCTCAGTTAGTGGATTTGCTGGGACTTCCAGAAATAGCCCAGACCCGTGTCCGAGGGGCCCAGACTCCCTGCACGGTGGGGAGGAGGCAGTGGTCCGTCCCCAGGGGTCTCTGCTGAGGAAGTCAGTGCAGAGATGCCCTTGGCAACACGGGGGCCCAGGGCCTGATGTGCCCCGGGGGGTGAGTCACCGGGTGGTCGCCAGGCTGCAGACCTGTCCTGGATGAGCCCCTTTCTGCTGGGGCGGCGGAGTCCCTCGGACGGGCAGGCAGTGGTCACAGCGCAGGCGTGGCCTCCAGAGCCCCCGTCTCAGCTTGTGCGCTTTTTCTAAAGTTCCTGCAGTTTGTCATCTGTTTAAGAAAAGCCCCGCCTCGAACCCAAGTGGGTCTCTCCACCGTCCTTTCTTCCACCCCCGCAGGTGCACAGCATCTACCGCGGGGCTGGCGGGAGCTTCCAGAAGGCGCAGACGGAGTGGAGCACAGGCGCCTGGCGGAATCCGCCGTCCCGGGAGGCCCAGTACAACAACTTCTCAGGGAACAGCCTGCCTGAGTACCCCACTGTGCCCAGCTACCCGGCCAGCGGCAGCCAGTGGCCTTAGGGGGAGCCCGGCGGCCCTGCTGCCCATCCTCCACCAGCCACCTGCCCCTCGCCATCCACTCCCACTGCCCTGGGTTTGGTGAGGCCCCTCCGCCAGCCGGGACGGCAGACCCGGGGGCTCTCGGGGACCCGCCCCCACATTCACCTCACTCCTGAGAGCAGGGCTCCCTGCAAGCTCTGTCCAGAAGCTGTCCGGCCGCCGCTGTCCAGCAGAAGGCCACCCCCTGTGGTCCTGAATGCGTTTATTCACCGTGACGTCCACTGTGCTGCAGCCACACCCTCTCCCCTCGGGGTCTCGGAGGGGCTGACCCAGGCCTTGCAGGTCAGAGGTGGGCCGGCTGCCCCCTTTCCAGAGCTGCTGACGCGGAGAAGGGCCCCGGCCCTGCGTCCACCCTTCCTGGCCTCCATCCGGGTGGTCGCCCTCGGCCCAGCTTCCAGTAAGAGG